AACTTGAACGAATTGTAAATTTTCACAACTATTAAATTTTTTTGTTCGTCTTTATTTTCATTCTTTACTCTGTGTACCGGCTATGTGGCGAATATTTATTGAGTTACTGAGTCATATATTTTTTAGAAGTGAGTCTGAAAGTACGACACACTGCTGGGAGTCAGCTCAATAGCTCCGCTCAGTGCCGAGTTACCCATCTCTATTTGTTATACTAAAATTAATTTTTTTTAGTCTAATTAAAAAGATTGCAATTTAGGTGACACCTTACAGAATTTCTTTAATTTTTGTACAAAGTTTGATCCAAAACATGAGATCTACCACATTTTTTCCAGATTCTACCACACAGAATTTTTAAGTCCTCACTGCTCATAAATAAACTGTCACTGCTTATAAATAAACTGTTGTTGCTTTTTCCTCTTTTTTCATGTGAGCCAACTACAATCAAGCGCAGCTATTCCAGTGCTATGATCAAGTTTAGACAGCACTGGAATAGCTGCGCTTGCTTGTAGTTGGCTCATATGAAAAAAGTGGAAAAGGCAGCAATAGTTTATAAGGCGAACTTAGCACAGTGCGTAGGCAACTGGCTGAGTCATCTGAGGTCGTCGGTTCGAACCCCGCTGAAGAAGTCTGATGAGGAAATGTGGTGATTTCCGAAATGGCTATCACTTCTACCATTTTTTCAAATTGTTGTTGCTTTTCCACAATAGTTTTTCATTAAAAACGGCCTCGAGCTCAATAAAAATTGTTGAATATAATTGTTATAAGGCCATAAATAACAAAAACAAATAATTTAAGGTGGAGAATAATTATTAATTTTAATTGTTAATCGTAGTGGCAGCAATTAGCAATTAAATAAATTAAATAATTGTTAATTGTGATTTTGTGAAGTTAACAAATAATTATTTTTTAATTGCTTTGTGAATTTTATTAAAAATTTACGTTTAAAGATGCCCACTACATAGGCCTGAAAGGTCTGTGTTAAGACATAGAGAATCTTGAAAAAGATTGATGCAGTGATGGGCAAAATTGTATTTACTAGTACAAAAGAATTTAGGTATTTGTATTGTGGTAAATACCAAAGTACTATTTACTTAAATATTTTAGATGTTACTAAATACCAAGTATGCTAGTATTTACTTATTTTCACAGCCCTAAATACTTTGTCTAAAAGTATTTAGTCAGTTTCACCTTACGAAGCACCGCGTACAGAAGTACTTTGAGACTTTGTATTCAGAAACTTGGTACAAAACTACTTAGTATTTAGGGCTTCACTAAATACTGGATACCGAACCATTAACTCAGTGTAAAAATAAAAAAAATCGGCATTTTCCAGACTTTCGGGACTATCTCGGGACTCTCGGTACTAGATAATATCGAGACTTTTTGGACATTCGGCACTACAATATCGGGATTTTTAGAATTTTCGGGACTATTCCGGGATTTTCGAAACTAGTTCGGAGTTTTTGGGACTTTTCGGGTTCACGACTCATATCGGGATTTTTGGGTCTTTAGGGACTATTTCGGTATTTTCTATACTACTTCGTAGTTTTTGAGATTCTCTGGACTAATATCGGGATTTTCGGGGTTTTGAAACTTTTTCGGCATTTTCGAGACTACTTCAGAATTCTCAGGACTAATATGGGGATTTTGGGTCTTTGGGGGCGATTTCGGTGTTTTCGAGACTACGTCGTGATTCTCGGGTCTTATATCGGGATTTCTGGTGTTTAGGGACTTTTTCGGGCTTTCGAGACTACTTTGGACTTTTTCGGGTCTTTCGGGATCCCCGTGACAATTTCGGAATTATCGGGACTAATATCGGAATGTGTGGACTTTAGGAACTATTTCGGAATTTTCGGACTTTAGGCCCCCCAAAGTAGCCCCGAAAGTCTCAAAAATCTTGATATAAGTCCCGATAATCCCGAAGTAGTCTCTAAAATCCCGAAATTGTCCCTAAAGTCCCGAAAACTCCCAAGTAGTCCCTAAAGACCCAAAAATCCCTATATTAGTCTCGAAAGTCCTGATATTAGTCCCGGGGATCCCGATAGTCTGGAAAAGGCCGAAGTAGTCTCGAAAACCTCGAAACAGTGCCGAAAGTCCCAATGAATTCCAAAAAATCCCGAAATAGTCCCGAAAGTCTCAAAATATCCTCGAAATTCGCAAAAATTCCGATATTGTCACGAGAATCCTGAATAGTCCGAATTAGTGTCGAAAATCCGGAAATATATCCTAAAGACCCAAAAATCTCGATATTAGTCCCGAGAATCTCGAAAACTTCGAAGTAGTCTCGAAAATCTCGACATAGTGCCGAAGATTCACAAAGGTCTCCAAAATCCCGATATAAATCCCAAGAATCCCGAAGTTGTCTCGAAAATCCAAAATATCCTCAAAAGTTTCAAGCATTTCTGAAATTTATCGTTATATAAAAAGCGGGCGAAATTTTAGGCCGATTTCAATTATTTTCAACGTTTTGCTTTTATGTGACAAGCACAATAACCATACCGAGTTCGATACAAATTGGTAGAACGGTTACCGAGATACATATATGTGATCATAAGTGGGCGGTTTCACGCCCATTTTTCAAAATTTTATCATAAACGTATTTCTTGGTAAAGAATCAATTTTGAATAAATTAGCTTTAATATTTACTGATTTATCGAAGATTTTGTATTTCTCTAAATTACCGTTATATGGGATGTGAGCGTGGTTATGTACAGTATCGATACGTTGCTTGAATTCAATATCATTTACTAAATTTGTTATAACTTTTCTATTTTCAAATCGATTTGCAAAAGATTTGGATCTATATACTTTCAAATTAAATAAGCTTATATAGCATAAAAATAAGAAAAAAAGGTTTGCAGCTTTTAGGTGTAATTCACAGTAGAATATCGATGCGACTTAAAACTGTGTCCGATTTCACCCATAAATTTGCAGATAACTCTTAAACTGATAATTTGATTGCAAAACATTGTATAGCAAGTTCTCTCAATTTGAAAAAAAAACGATAATTTCGCAAATTCTTAAAACCTAATATACGTTTTTATTTTTGACCTCAAATTCAGATTCTGAGTTATTTTACATAGCAAATGACTATAAAATTCACGATTTTCAACTTTTGTTAAAATTTTTTTTCCTTGAATGCATATGGTTTTCTAAATTTTCAAATGCAACGCGCAAGGTCTGCGAGTTATCATATTCGAATAAAATTTTGCACAGCTTATTTTTAGACAAAAAGACATATTTTTCCGCCCGGCAAAACAATTTTTATACCTTTCATGAGCATGAAATGGTATTATAACTTTGGTCCGATGTTTGTAAGTACCAGAATAAGAAGAGATAGACCCATTAAAATGTATACTTAAATGATCAGAACGGCGAGCTGAGTCGATTTAGCCATGTCCGTCTGTCCGTCTGTCTGTCTGTCTGTCTGTCCGTCTGTTTGTATACAATCTAGTCTCTCAGTTTTCGAGATATCCGGATCAAATTTGGTAGGTGGGTGTATTTTTATAATGTATTAATCATTTGTCGGAACCGGAAGAATCGGACCACTATAACATATAGCTCCCATACAACTGATTGTTCAGATATGAGATTTTTCGTTATAACTTCTCCATTTATGCAGCTAGGAACATGAAATTTTGCAATACTTCCACCCATTATGAACAAAAAACTTAGAGTGAAAATTACAAAGATCGGGTCACTATAACATATAGCTCTTATACAACGGATAGTTCAGATATAAGATTTTTCATTATAACTCCTCCATTTAAGTAGCTAGACACATGAAATTTTGCAATACTTCCACCCATTATGAACAAAAAACTTAGAGTGAAAATTACAAAGATCGGGTCACTATAACATATAGCTCTCATACAACTGATTGTTCAGATATGAGATTTTTTGCCATAACTTCTTAATTTATGCAGCTAGGAACACCAAAATTCGCACCGTTTCCACTCATTATTAACAGAAAACTTAGAGTGAAAATTACAATGATCGGGTCACTATAACATATACCTCTCATACAACTGATTGTTCAGATATAAGATTTTTCGTTATAACTCCTCCATTTAAGTAGCTAGACACATGAAATTTTGCACTGTTGTCACTTATTATCAAAAGAATACTTTCAGTGAAAATGGCGAAGATCGAGTCACTACAACCTATATCCACCATACAACTGATTGTTCAGATATGAGATTTTTTGCCATAACTTCTTCATTTATGCAGCNCGCACCGTTTCCACTCATTATTAACAGAATACTTATAGTAAAAATAACAAAGATCGGGTCACTTTTACAAATAGGTCCCATACAACTGATTGTTCAGATATGCGATTTTTTGTTATAACTACTCCATCTATGCAGCTAGAAACATGAAATTTCGCACTATTTTCACTCATTATCAACAGAAAGTTTACAGTAAAATTAACAAAGATCGGGTCACTATAACCTGTTTATTGCCCCCATACAACTGATTGTTCAGATATGGGGTTTTACTGTAAAACTCCTTTATTTGGACAGCTAAAACCGATTAATTTCGTAAGTTATTTTTTAAATAATAATACAAAGTCTACTGAGAAAATCGTCAAAATCTATGCTGTATAATCTTAATCTCTTGTACCACTGATTGTTCAGATACCAGTTTTTGCGATATATGTATCTCCTTTATGTAGGAAGCTAAACCCATTAAATTGTGTTACCGGTTTACGTACCGATCACACAGCAGTGAAAATCACTTAGATTGGTGCTATATAAGGAATATCTTCCATACCTCTGATTGTTTAGCTAGAATTTTTTTTATATGTATCTCCTCTATCTACGTCTGCTGTGAATATATAAATTTTTTCAAATGCAGTAATCTGTTAACGTAAAATTTTCAGATGCTCATGAAAGGTATGGAGCCTTCGGCATAGCCGAAGACAGCGCTGCTCTTACTTGTTTTTTTTAACGAACGGTCTATGATGAAGTAAACTGCTCCAACATAAGAATGCAAGCCAATTCAAAAAATTACACATAAAATGTGGTCATTTTATTATCATTTGGATTTGCTGGATTAGGATAAGAAATACAAACTAGCTTTGGCGAGGATTTTGGAGCCGCAGGGAGGTTTTTAGTTGAGGATGGACAGCTTCTGCTCAGCTTCTGTTGATTTGATTTTTTTAATTCTGGGTTTAGCGCAACGAAAATGGTATCATCCTCATCAGCTGGATACCCAGCGCTTCTTGGTGAATTAGAGTTTGCTCGTCTAATGGCTTCCAAGCCATCTGGATCAGGATCAGATGCTACGCTATGAGTCGGTGAGATACTCACAACAGGAAATGACTTTACTTTATCTCGCTGAAATTCGTGTAATAAATTCAAGCTCTTATATTGCTTACTGACATTTTGTAACTCTTCTGTAGCTGTTTTATGTAGCGACTTATGGCGCTTAAAATTTGATGCATCGGCAAATGTGCGCGGACATAGTGAACATTTATATGGTTTTTCACCTGTATGGGTGCGTAGATGCTTTGTCAATGTAGATTTAAGTTTAAACCGCTGTAAACACTGTCCACACCGAAATTTTAATGCCGTGGCGGCAGAATGTTCCTTTTGATTAGATGGCAAGTTACTAAGAACCAATTTCTTCAATTCATCCTTACTTACTACTTGGCTAGGACAAGGTAGTGCAGTAATGGGTGGTAATATTTCAACAGATTTTACCGTTGTAACTTTTGGTCGGAGCAACGATGATGTTGCTGTTGAACTTTGTCCAGAACCGATTGATTGGCCTGAAGAAAAATTAACGACACTTTGTTTCTCTTTTGAGGTTCTCCCTAGCTTATCTTTTTGGGAATTCAATCTTGAGTGCACAGTCCGTTGCGCATGTTTAAGATGCATTTGTTTGTGAAGTTTCCAATGAGAGCTGCTGTTGAATTTAGCGCCACATGTTTCACACTGAAATGGCAATTGACCGGAGTGTAGTCGCATATGCGTAACCATATTGGAACGATGCGCAAACGCCTTTGGGCAGTGCTAAATAGAAACAAAACTGATTAATATTTATATTCCAAAGTTGTACTACACTGAACTTACCTCGCATATGTAGGGTTTATCTCCTGTATGAGTCCGCATATGCAAAGTCAACTCATTTTTATGCACGAATGCTTTAGCGCAAATTTTGCATTAAAGTTTTTAATACCTGTGTGTTTAGCCATATGGTAAGTCAAGTTCGTTGCGTGCTGAAAACATTGAATTATGAGAACATTTATGGTTTGGAAACATACTTTTGCGTGTTTGTACCTTAAAACTAGCAGTACAATGCTGACATTGTATGCCCGTGCTCCTATATGGATCTGCTTATGGTGGCGTAAAACCGAATACCGTGTTTTATAAAGTTTATTACATTTTAAACACTTGAATGCATTACTATTTTGCGGTAGTTTTGATTCATTTTCCTCCGCTTGCTCTACCGCAAAAGCTGAAGAATTGTTGGTATTAGCCTTTTCCTTTGCTTTAGTATTTATATCTGAATCAATAGATGTGATATGTCCTTCATCATTCACAATAATGTTAATAGTTGTTTCCGTTTTCTCACTTGTCAACAGATTTCCTTGAGCATTTTTTTTATTTTTTGTTAGTATGGTTGTTCCTCTGTGGTCGCTAAACCTCTGATGTTGCTTTAATTCAGTAAGAATTACAAAGTCCTTTGAACATTCAGTGCATTTGTAAATAGACTCATTATGTATACGTAAATGTTTTAAAAATGTATGTTGTTTGGTAAATACTTCTTTACAGTATTCACAAATCAGGCGAATTTTTGGTTCGATAGACGTTGAATTGATATCTACATTCGTATCGACCGCAATTATTTCTGCCAAAGAAGCGCCATTTCCGGAACGTAATTCGGCTATTGGATCAATATTAATAAGTGTACCAGCGTCCACATTTGCTGCGTCGTCGCATTGTGATGCTGCCAAAAATTAGGAAAATCGAATTTTTTGTGTCGATGGATATCAAATCAAATTGAATATGATTTATTTTGGAACTAACCAACACCACTAATTGAATATACATATTTACCCGATGCAAATGACAATGAATCTTCTTCTGTGTCAGGGATAGGGATAGGGTCACACGGAAAACGTTTTCTTTGCTTCCTTATGCGCCTGGGGTATTTTCTTGAAGTTTGCGTGTTCTTTGGTGTATATTTTTCGTTCCTCAGTTTTTTACCCGAAGCAATTTCTTCTGGTAATTGGATCTCTATTTCTACTGATATCGTCGATTCGTGTAGATTTTTATATGAATTACTTTCATTTTCTGAGAGTGTTTTGCTGGGATTTCCTACTTCCAAATTCTGATTATATCGCTGGTGCAACTTACGCTGCCCTTCCTCTACCGTAAAAATAAACCTTTCTGTAGATTCAGCAGCCAGTTGGCAGGCCACACATAACCAATTTGGAAACGAGGTGTTATCAGTAAACTAGGTAATTAAATAAAAAAAATATATATATATTAGTTTATTATAAGAGGTATAAAACACCAATTACCTTAATATTTAACAACCGCAGCGTACGCTCCACTAAATTAATAATACTTCGGCTATCATCCCCAAAGATTTGTATACAATTATTCTGTATATCCCCGCATAGGCGGCACAATTTTTCGCCATTAATTATTATATTTTCATTTAACTCCATCTCTAAAAAAAAGCTTTATTTGTTTATTTCACGAGATAAACAGACCTGATTTGGTCGTGACCAGCTGTTAATCGGAATGCAACCGATGTATCGATATTTTTGAAACATCGATAATATCTGTTCAAAATTCGATGTTTGCCATCGATGTTTACAATTTCCAAAAATCGCCAAATTGACGATACATCGATGCCAATTTCAGCGATGTTCCAACATCGAATTTAGGTCGGTGTTATGCAGACAAATTTTTGTTTGCCAAATTAAATGGCGGCTGCTTAGTTTGCTCGGAGGTGGTTATGTCGAGTTTGGCACAGGGTCGCACGTTCATTATGGTTTTCATCATGAACCAAAAATACAAGATCACGTAAGAACGCGACGTTGTATTTGTAACTGGTTTTGAGAAAAAAGTTTGCGAAAGCGGGTTCGTCAGCTGAGCGTTTGTTTACATCACGAGCACCACTATTTTACACTTTTATTCAAGTAAAGAAGAGTTAATTCAACATGACAACACATTTTAAAGCATTTTGTTGCATCATTTTACCTAAATTGTGCGTTTAAAGTGGCTGACAATAATTTTGGCTAATTTTGGTTTTCGTTGTTTTCTTTGCTTTGTTTACTTTTCGCTCGTTTTCCAGTGAAACAAGATGGCGTAGAACCCGCTAAAAAAATCGACTTTTTTCACTCTCTTGTTCTTATGTGATCTTGTGTCTTTCGTTCATGGGTTTTCATGGCTATTGCCAACACGAAATGAGACTTTTGTGTATAGCAAGAATTGGTGATTTTGCTTCTGATACAAGCAGCCTCCATTAGCAAGTTAATTAATCAATCCCGCGGAGATGCTGCCGCAATCGTAATTGCAAAGCAATGGAGTGCACTAAAACGTTTGCAGAAGCAGCCTCAATTGCAAAGCAATGGAGTGCACTAAAATGTTACCTATTCTCTAATAGATTAGGTGAAAAATGCAATATTTTCGCGTTTAGTAAAATTAAAACACGTTTTTCGCTGTAAAGTGAACTGTTTTGGAAGTTTTAACTCGTTCTTCTTTTCGCTCTATTCTTTGTTTACTTGTGGTACACAAATGTCAACGCCCAGGACGGCGCAATCTTGTATTCTATCATTCTTGACGCTTGCCTATAACGAGGTAGCGAACAGAAGGTGACGCATTCCGCAAACCGTTATACCATGTTCTGACCGACAACGAAAATACTTTGAAAACCAAGAAAGCGAATGCGAATGTAAAAATTAATACGGAAGTTACGCGGTTGCGAATGCGAATATATTTACGAAGGACAGAGAAAGGGCAAGAATGCAATCCCATGTTTCGAAAATGGTAGTAGAAAAGTACGCAAAGTAGGCAATTAGTAGTGAAATTCCTTTCGTAAATTCTAATGTATTTGCAGGAAATCTGGCATTTTAAACGAAATGTTGAACGTAATATTGATATATCTACGTGAATTACGTAATTTATATGCTATTTAGCCGTATAAAAACTGCAAAATTACTCAAAATTAAAATAAGACCACTATGAGAATGATGTAAACATTCAATGCTTATGTTTTCATCAGTTAAATATGCTTCATATGCATATACAAATAAACATATTGCACAAAAGCTCATACTTTTATTTCACACCAAAGCTACACTGTTTCCATGTAAATTTGCAAAGAAGCAACACTGTGCCACTGCTAAGGGAGCGGTGCGAGAGAAACAACTGTCAGTTTATAAAACCTTGTATTATTCAATCATGGTAGATAACAAGAAGGGACAACTCGTTATAATTATAGCGGAAGTGAGCAACAGGGGCGTGCCTTCTCTTTTGCTCTAGTACGTTTTTTGATTGGATGAAAAGAGAAGGCGCGCCTCTGTTGCTCACTTTCGCTACAAATCTAACGAGTTGTCCCTTCTGGTTATCTACGTTCTTTGCTATGGAGTTGCTCAGTTTTTGTGCACGTAAGCGCATGCCAACGGATCTCGCATACGCACGCATACGCTTGTCGTTTCACTTCCAGCTTAAATACATACGTTTATTTCGTTACTTTTGCAGCTCTAATAAACAGGCCGATTCTGAACACAAACTCCCTGGGAGTTTTCTCTCTTTTCCCTTTCCTCCTGTCAAGAATAAAAATTTCCTGAGGACTGTTTATATTAAATGGCGGAGTTAAGCTCTCAAAAAAATTTCAAACAGCTTCTTCGAAATTTACCCCCAGAGAGGCATGCCTTTTCCCCAAGATTTCCGTTTCGCACCCCTTATTTATTTTTTTGGACTACAGAATTTTTTAGTACTTCCCTAGGTATTCTGGCTCATTTTCCCATCCCCACTTTTTGAATGAATAGGAGACATAAAGTTTGTATAGTAACTTCTCCAGTAAAACATTGCAGCGAGAGCGTAAAATTGAGAAGAAGAGAAAACTAGCAGAAAAAGTTAATGAACACAAAACTAGCAAAAACTTGCAAGTGAACAGTCGTTGCACTGTTTTGACATTCTGCTGTAAACATTTTACTATTTATAAATCAGTCTTAAACTCTGCTTTACACGCAAGCACTTACACAGTCACAATATTTTGATTTAAACTCCTTTTACTTTTGTTTGTGCTAAACCAATTCAACAATTGGCGGCTTTTGACATTTATTGTTCTTCTTCTTCAGCTAGCTAATTTCTGCTAGTAAAAATTTCACTAGCAAGAATTTGCAGCTCTCCCGTGTTGTTACGCTCTCGATTCAGTGCTCTCTTGCAAATTTTTTGGGTTATCATACGCTTTTCCAGTAAAAATTTGCAGGTTCCAGTACAAATTAGTACTGACTATTGGTTACTATACAAACCTATAATTTTCGATGTTATCGAATTATCTTCCAAGGGTTTACAGTTCCAACGTATTTTAAATAGGTACATATGTATGTAGCAGGGATGTTGCGAATGTGGAATTTTGAACATCCGCGGATGCGAATGCGGATTTAAATTTTTTTTAAGAAATAGAAATAAAACTATCGCTATGAAACGCCGACGAACGAACTTCGCATTTAGCTTTGGTTGTGTTCAATTGGATATGCTTGCGGTTGTTCTAATTTGACAGCGCCAATTTCGCTGTGGTGAGGTTGCCGTTCGCCGGCATTATTTTTCAGCTATGAAGTGTTCTGCATAAAAAGTGTGGTGGAGAAGTGACGGTTTTTAACAGGATTGTTCGACTTCACTAGAAAGTCGACTTTCGACTTTTCGGTCGACTCTGTAAAGCCGACTTTAAAAGTCGACCGATCCACGAAGAAAAGTCGACTTTGTTCGACTTTTTTAATAAAAAGAAAATGTATTAACTATACTCTGCATTTAACTCATATATTAGCTATAAATATAAGAGTCAGAATACGCCAAAAATATCATGATTTACTAGTGGTCTTTAGAATAATCTGTAATTTAGTGAAATTCAATTTAATTTTTTAAAAATTTTGAAAATTGTTCCAGTTATACAGCATGAAAATGTTGGTTGTGAGGGTTTTCAAAAATTATATTTTTGAAAAATAATTTAAAAATTTTTAAATTTTCACAAAAAAAAAAATCTAAAAACTTATTGAATCGATATTTGGTAATTACGCACAACTTTTTGAAAAATGTGGCCTTCCGATGGAGCAGAATTGGCGGGTATTGGTAGAAATATAATGCCACTTTATAAGCGTGGATAAATATGGGAGTAGCCCAGACAGCTAGTGGATTGGGACTATCCACACGACTAATGTCGCATATTAACTGGAATCCTACTAGCAACGTTTTTAGCGGTGTTTAAAATGTTGTACCTTACGGATTGGTAAAATTCGAACCAAAGACTGTCCCTAGAAACTTACATAAACTCATGCAGGAAAATTTTCTTGCATGAAATTTTTAAAGTAAATACCTATGTTTATCTTACCTCATTATTAACTGAAGACTGTGGAGACAAGCGATTAACAAATTTGAGGAATTTGTTTTCGTATAGTAATTTTATGCGCTGCTCTTAAATGATTTGACAATGTTGTACTGTCATTAAAATTCATTTCTCTACCACACTTTTCAAATTTCACTTCAGTTTTATTGGCAAATTTTTTTAAATACGACCAANTCAGTCGACTTCCATACACTAAAAGTCGATCACTAAAATTCGACTTTCAGGAGTAAAAAGTCGATTTTGGTCGAAAGTCGAAGTCGACTTTGCCATGCCTATTTCTTAAGTGTAGTGAAAACTGCAATTGATGGGGAGATGGCAACTCTTGCGCACGAAGAAACTCTGCCATTCAATCACCAAACTTTTTAAGTCGCGGCAACTTTGTACGCTCTTGACATTTTTCTACGTTTC